AATGGGTGCCTTCTAATAAATTCTGAGTTCCCTAATACTTTTTCTGTTTTTAGCTTATTTGTTTTGTTTTACTTCTCAGTTTCCAAAGATATGTTTTAAGCAAATCTTAAAGAGATTTCTAAGATTTTTACGTTCGAAGAGATATTTTTCCAACTGTCCCAAAAGACACTAAGCCACCAAGTGTCGAGTTATAAAATGTTATAGACCTCACATTCCTTTTGCCTTCTCATGTTCTGTTTCCAACAAATTCTTTTCCTCTCCAACACCAGATCTCCCTATCTCTTTCCCTTCTCAATCTCAAGAAATCCTACTCACCCTTTAATATAATTCACATATCATCTCCTCTGGGATTCCTTCCTTCTCACGCTGATTTAGCCACCCCTTACCTGAGCTCCATAGCTCTTTTGTCAGAGGCCTGGCATAAACTTATTTTGTAGCGTGCATTGTGTTTCCCTGTGAGATAGTGCCCTCCTAGAGGGCAGGGGCCATGTCTGGAATCATAGTTAGGAATAACCCCCTCTCCCTTCCCAATAACTTGCATATTTCATACCAGTTTCACACTTGACAAAATTTTACACAAAATTTCACCAAGGTCATTTCCAAGATGTATCCTAGGGACTAGAAAAAAAAACATGCAGATCACATCTGATATTTGGATACTTTTCTCATGAAATTTGATGGGAAAAAAAGACCAATTTAGAATTAGAAAACATAAGTGCTTTTCCTAGTTGTATTTACTTATTTCTGTGTATTCTTGGACAAATCTCTTAATATTTCTGTGCCTCAGGTACCTTATCGGAACATAGGGAATAGATAACCTACTTGCTTTTTTAAATTATTTTATCCTCAAACACAATCGTAAAACAGAATAGCTAAAGTACATTTTAGGAAATAAGATTTTAGTCGTGTTGAATTAGATATCCTGAATAATTTGAGCCTGCACTGGGAGAACCAGATGTGAATACAGAATGAAGAAAGCAAGGAGACATCAATTGTGCTCTGTCACTGAGGAACAACCTTTATAATCAAACCACAAAGGTAGAAAACAGTTATGATTGTTTAATTCCAGTAAACTCTCAAACTGCAGCTGCGAGATTTTAATTTCTCTTTTTTTCAGGGAGGGAAAGGGATGGTAGGCAGTGGAATAAAAACAGAAAGAAGGCTAAGAATGTGCCCAAGTTACATGGAATTCAGTGCATAATTAGTGCTTACCCTCTGTAAAGATTGGGGTGTGGTGGAAAAAAGCTTCAAGGGGGTCAGGAGAGTTGAGTTCTAGATGTGACTCCGCCACTACCCTATGTGTGAATTTGGCAAGACCTTCAACTCTCAGGGCCTGAGTTGCTCCATCTTTCAAATAGGGTTGGGAATAGTTGTTTAGCCTGTTTTCTCAGCACTCATAGCATTCTTGGATAATATTGGATATAATGTTCCATTATATAGATATAGATACAACATAAATCTGTTTTTATTTATGTAAAATATAAGCACTATGTACAATGTTTAATTATATTAATTTAAAGATTAAAAAGGTGTACATGTATAAATGAGAGTGTTAGTCTTGATAGTTTAGCTTTCTTCTAAATATAACATTCAGGAGGCAGAGAACACAATACCAACAGTCCTGCCTTCTTAATAGCAGGTGGTGAAATGCTTTCCTCTTCTCGCCCAGGGTGTTAAACACAGTGTAATAGAGTTAGATCAAACTTCACCCAACTCTATAAATTATTACCTCCATGACCAGGCCTAAGCTATTTCCTTGGGCCTCGGTTTTTCCATCTGTAAAATGGCAACACCTAATCAGATTATGGAGAGGACTGAATATAAGCAAGAAAACCAGGTAGCGCATGGCAGGTGCTTCATAAATGTTCACATCATTCTTGTTTCCTTTCTCTAGTAACTAGTACAGGCCCCATGCATAGTATGCACTAAATAACGTGTTGATTGGTTACTTATGGTTTGAAATTTCTCACATACAGTACATACATTTTAAATCTTGTGGGAATTTCTGCTCCAATAAAGTTGCAAATCCTTTCAAAATTTCCCACTTACCAAAGTATGCCTTAGTAAAATATGGGTAGAAAAAAACACCCTAATTTCTCAGTAACCACAGAAAATCTCCAAGATTGTGCTCATTTAAAAGTTAAGGTCCCAGTAAATTGCATTTTTCATTCATGATCAAGGCTGACTCGGAACTGACTCAGAATTGGAAAGAGTTGATAGCTCGATACATCTTCCTTAGTTTCTGCAGAACAGCAGGCTTCCCCTTGAAATCTCCTCATACAACCCAGTGCAACTGACTTGCATGGTCCTTTCACATAAGCCCCTGAAATTGAGGGAAGGAAAGTAAATTGTTCTTCTATTGATCCAGATCTTCAGCAACACAATAAGTGGCTTTTTAATTAAAAAAAAATTTTAGTTCATTTGAAAGCAAACATTTTGACCTTCAAGAGAAGGTTCATATTGAGAATCAGTGCCTGAACATTTATATACTGGTAGCACCGGGTGAATCACAGGGACGAAGCCCAAGGGGAAGATGCGATTCCGTCACTCTACTGTCCTTGAGCCTAAGGACAGCACCTCCTAAGCCTGGAACTGTAGCATGAGTTACATCCTCTCCGAAAGTAGCCACCAAGTGTGCTATGTACAGAGTTAGTACAACTGAACTTATTCACATTCTTTAACCCTCTCTGAGATGAGCTGGCTACTCCTATCACGCTGGAAAGGTTTTGCTCAAGTATTTAATTATGAACTGGCTGCTTTTGTACAAAGTGCAAGCAAAACCAAACCAGGTCACTCTGTTGACCATTCTGGTACATCAAAAATTTCTAGTTATTGGAGAGGTGACAGTGACCAGTCAGTGTAAACAATAGATGGAAGAAGTCAAAATAGGAGATTTAATACCATCTCGGGGGTAAGTACACTGCTGAAGGATGCTCCTATCCAACATCTTTTCTCTCCAAGTTTCATTTCTGTGGAATAAATGACTAAAACCTAGTCACTCTATTCCAATCTCCTCCAACCCCCTGATGAAACAAGAAAATACCAAACCAGCCAACAAAGGTAATAATACATGGGCAAGTGATGGGACCCTTACAGCATCATCTCTCTGACCTCACAAGCTACTAGTGAGTGGTATTTCTGTTGACTCGTCTCCTGCCTTTTCCTTAGATCAGTTTCTCTCTCTTTTTGCTATTTTATTTTCACATTGTTTCTTTCTTTCTCATTGTGTCTGACTGACTAGGTTTTTTCAAAGCATAGTTTTATTTATTTTTATTTATTTATTCTATTATTTTATTTATTTTATTTTATTTATTTTATTTTATTTTATTTTAATTTATCTTTATTCATTTCAGAGAGAGGAAGGGAGGGGGAGAGAGAGAGATAGAAACATCAATGATGAGAGAGTCACTGATCGGCTGCAGCCCGAAACCCGGGCATGTGCCTTGACAGGGAATCGAACCCTGATCTCCTGGATCCTAGGTAGATGCTCAACTGCTGAGTCACACCCGGCCGGGCTAGTTTTATTTTATATGAGTTATTTTCTCTCTACTCTTCCTCCTTCCCTCCCTCCCTAACCCTTACCTATTTTGATTCCTTCCCCCTTCAAATCATTACTCTTTTTAAAAAAAGGAAATATTTTTCAAAATTCCTCACTCATACACAGTTCTGAAGGTTTCACTTCATCTTTCCTTCCTAGGACAGGTGACTAACTTTTCTCACTTTGACATGCATGTAGTGACTGTCCATGTCCAGACTGACCTATTTCTTTTCTTTTTATAGTAATTCCTTTGGATGGGGGTGGGGGGGCAGTCAACTTTATCTATCTTGCTAGTTTTCTAACCTCTTTACTTTGCTGTCTGCTCAAGTCGCACTCTTTTTCCCTCCTTTACTGATCAACTTTCTTATCACTACACATCCACTACTTACTACCAGCCCTTTTTTTTTTTTTTTTTAGTAGTGATGGTGGTGGGGGTCTATGTCAATAATATTGGCCTGAACTTTGAATCTTTTTGCCAAGCTCTAATACTATTGAATTTTTTAAAAAAACTTTTTGTCCATGAGAACCAACTCTAATATTTATTTTGCCTTTTGACATCCCCAAAGATATATGCCCTGTGGGATATTTTATATTTATATATTTATATAAAAAGTTACGTTTATTTATATTCTAATGATATCCATAGGCCCCAGATTACCAACATTTAATTAGCCTCAAACATTACTAAATACCTATTTGTTGAATTTGTTATATTTGGCCTTGTAAGCGCTTCAAGAAACCCAACCACTGACAACATCTGTTTTTTATGCATCATAGCCAATATACCACTCTTTATCTTCATAAACACCCTAAATTCTTTATTCTTGCAGTTTTCTCCTTTAATCACAACATTTGGCTTGACCGCCCTGCACAGGTCCCACAATGAATACCATTCCTTAAACAGCTATCACTTTCAAAAACCAACTTTCCTCTTGGCATTAAAGCCCGCACACGCTATGTCAGATCACAGATAAGAAAAGGGCGACAGGAAGCCCCTAATCAAAGAAATAAGCACAACGATCAGCACTGACAATCCTGCATGTGTGTCTGTGTGTATATGTGTGCTTCGTTGAATAGTCATAGCACTTTCTATGGGTATTTTTGAGAACAGGAGCACATTTTCTCATTCCATGACTATTTCATACATTTCTTGTTATTATATTTTTTAAAGACATACAGATTAAGATAAAAAAAATTACCCAGCAGGAAATCAAAGGAAAAAAATAATCCTCTTAAAGTTCTAAATATCATCAGTGCCTGTCTCCCAGTTCTCCTGACTCATCAGCATCTCTTAACAGTCCTTACCCTCTCAAACATCCTGCCAGACCCTTGGAGTCTGACTGCTCCAGCCAGCTAGCCCCTGACAGCTCAGCATTATTACTGTTCGATTATTATGATCTCTTCCTCTGCTGAGCGGCCTCTGCAGAGGTCCTCCTCGCCCAGCGTCGGTGTGAAAACTTACCGCTTTTACCAACTCCCCCTGCTCCCAGCATTACCACCTTGTACTCCCTGGACCCGCCTGCCGCTGAGGCGCCGCTGGGGGAGCAGCTGGCTTCGCTTCCCACCTCCATCTCACCGGAGGGGCCCGAGGACAATAGAGACGGAGCGAGCCGCCCGTGGCAGGGGCTTGCTCAGAGGTTGAGCAACTCTAAAACTGGGTCAAAAGAAAGGTTTAGTGCGAGGTAAGAACCATCAGCGCCCGGCTGGCTGTTGGTCCTGTGCTCTGAGCGGGTCTCATAGCAACCACTTCAATTGCTTCCAATAAAAATCTGGCTTTTACCTACACCCCTCCTTCCCGATCTCTCCCTCTTCCCCTCTCCCACGGCCGCTCCTGCTCCCCGTGTGCGCCTGGCTTTCTCGCTCTCTGCGGCTCGCTCGGTCTCTTGCACTGTTTGCTTTTTCCCCCCGTCCCTCCTCTGTCTCCCCATTCCCCTGCCTCACTCTTTGTCTCTGCCCTTCTTCTGCCCGCCCCCTGCACAGTCCCAGCTGTTAGGGGCACAGATCCTTGGCTACCTTCCAGGCTGGGCTGCTAGGGTGCAGTGAATCTGAGACGCGGGAGAAGATGCTATGTCTCACAGGCTGGTGATTTCTGTAGCGACGGCCTGAAAGACACGATTTTATTCTAATCGGAGTCAGTTAATGAAGAAAAATGTCTGTTGCTTATCTTCTTGTTTTTTTTTAATCACCATCTTCTTCCACAGTTCTTATTCTGGGAAGAGAGATGCTACCAATTTAGAAGAAAAAAAACAAACAGTAACTCAGGGCTCTCCAGGATGGGTCTTTGGTGGTGTTGCAATAAGAGCTGGCTTGCAGGATTGTGTCAGCTCACGTGACAGTGGCAGGTCTAACATCAGGAGGTATTTGAAATTAGGTCATTGTGTTGTTTGGACATGGGTCGCCCTTGTTTACACTCGGTTATTAGGATCAGCCTAAAACGCAAGGATCCTGGACAAGCATGAAAGAGATACTTAAATATTTTTGTTGAAAATCATGGTAGCATTAAAGATTAGATACAATTATTTTTCAAATGTCTAAACTCTTTCCTCTTATTTGAATGCATTTAAAGCTTTATGGTCTTTGCTTTTCTCTGGAAAGCTTCTAAACTGTACAGACCTTAGAATGCTTTCAATAATCCCTCCTCCTCATAGCCAGACCCTGCCCTTCAAACAAAATGATGATAATGCTCTGTATATTTATCGTTTATTCTTTATTGTGAAATTGGATCATGATTAGATGCACTCAAGTGTTTGGTGTACAAAGGCTTTTCTTTCTATCCAGATTTTATAATACTCTAGGAAAGAAATTATATTTAATCAGTTCCTTATGACTATAATGTACAACCAAGTGCTCCACAGAGAGTAGGTGCTCAATATATTGCTGGTAATTGGAGAGGTGCCATGCAGTCAGTCATAGCCAACAGCCCAGGCTCTGGAGCCTGATTGCTTGCATTCAAATCTGGTCTCAGCCATTTAATAGCTGTGTGACCTTGGGTAAATTACTTCACCTCTCTGTGCCTCACTTTCTTCATCTACAAAATGCTTTATTAAAGCCCTAGTTTATTAACTCATTAAGTAAGTTTAATGCTTGTACAGTGCTTAACACTGTTTCTGGCAAATTGTAAGCAGCATGTAAGTATATAATTATTTTATTATGTTTCTTAATTAATAGTGCTCCCAGCCCACTGTATATAAGCACTCACCAGAAGAGAAAAATCATCTCTTCATCTGTTTATTGGCATCCCTATATCTTCTTTGTTAAAGTATCTGTTCAAACCTTTTGTCTATTTTTCTATCAAGATCTTTGTGTTTGTATTGAGTTTGAGAGTGCTTTATATATTCTAGATGCAAGCTTTTTAAAATCAGATATATGTTCTGAAAATATTTTCCCCCAGTCTGTAGTTTTCCTTAACAGCATCTTTCAAAAGAGCAGGAGATTTAAATTTTGATGGATTCCAATTTGTAATTTTTTTCTTTTATGAATGATCCATCAGGTTTTAAATGACACCTTGTTCGATGATTTTATTCCCAATTCTCTTTTCATCTTTTACCTCTTCATTGCAGTTTTGCTCACTGTTAGAGCTCTATTTATCACCTTCCTGTGAGTAACTGCCAAGTTTGTAACTGTAGACCCAATTTTCACCTTGAACTTCAAAACGGAATCTGTCTCCTGAAAGCCTCTTTCAGAAACCCTGTTTGTATCTCAACCTCAGTATATCCAAAAATACATCACTCTGATTCTCAATAACAAAGTCAACACTCTATCACCTTCCTCCAAGTCCTAGCTTTAGTTCAGCCTCTTCTGCTATTGAACTTCCATGACTGAAACAACTCCATAACTTATCCTTCCTGAGTATAGTCTCACTGCCCTTTCCCCTTCTCACACCACTCAATTCATCCTGTGTACACTGATGTCAGGGAAATCCACCTAAAATGTCAACCTGACTCACCCTATTGTAAATATATCCATAAATCGCACGCCTAAATAATGCAACCCAAGGGCTTAGAATGGGACACAGAGACAAAATATTTATTCCAGACTCAGGCCCTCACTCAATAGCATAGAGTCAGGCAAAGTGGAAGACTAACCTTTCCGCCAACAAAACTGTCATTTCCATAATTAGATCTAACAAAGAACTGTAGCTACGTTACAATTACCTTGTAATCGACTCACTGAAACTTTATTCCTCAGTGAAAAGAGATAATGTAAACAAGAGCATTTAGCTTCAAGGTCTTTCTGGTTTTTGTTTCAACTTCTGGTGCAGACATTCTTATGACATTGAACAAATCACTTACCCCTCTGAGCTATCCATCCCACCATCTGTTACTCTGTTTTCCATGTCAGCCATTCTGATTTGGTGGTAAAGCACAGGAATTGTTGCTAGCTGTGTCCTTTGTGCTGTTCTTTTTCCTGATACACATATTTTAATATTGAGAGAGAGGAGTACATGAAAATGTCCTTAAACAGCAAGTATCACGGCTGCCGGGAGAGGAAAATGTAACTAGTGAATTGGCTTTCTTCTCAATAGCTACTGTGCCTCTCCATATTCCTCAAACTGAAATCAGTGAGATTTATTCCTAGTTACATGAAAAACATCATCTGTGGGGAGGCTCTCTAAGCTATAATGCCCTTTGTTTACCACTCCTTTGACTTTCTAAGGAATTCCACTCTAGTCCCCTCTCCTGACTTACTGAGGGCCCGATTGATAATGGTTGTATTTGTGGAGGGTTCTAATGCTACTGATTTTCAGTTTCTGTTAGTGAACTTTGTAAATCTGCATCTTTTGTGCCCTGACCAGTGCACCCGAGAGTCTGAGGTGTTTGTAAGGGAGAGGTGGAGGGGAGAGGGAGGGAGACGAGAGAGGGCCAGGTATCTTCTAGGTGTATAAATGCTGACTGAAGTGGGGTTCTTAAGTAACTGAACTCATAACGCAGCAGACTGGTTTGCTCCCTGGAAAACGACAACGGAGGGCTGAACGCACAGCTTCTGAACAGCAAACAAGAAAAAGAGGCGGACGCAGCGCGCTGGGAGGCCGCGGGAGCTGCGGCCCCTCCCTGGGAGAGGCCGGGGAGCCCCAATATTTCCGTTCCCGCCGCGTGCTTCGGGCAAACAGGAGCTCCCTTCACCCCCCTGCAAGTTCGCCGGGTGCCTTCCCAGCTACAGAGCCTGGAGCCTTCTGCCTCTGGGCAGGGGGAGCAGCCCAAACAATAGGGTGTCCCCAGGCGCCTGGCCTCCCCGGCACCCGGCCAGAAGGCAGCGCCCCGCCCCTTGAGCGCCCGCTCGGCTCAGCGCCACGGGCTGCCCGCAACTGCCCCGCACCCGGAGGCACGCGGGGTCTGCTGCCTACCGGGCCGCGCTGCACACAGCGAGCGGGGGAGTGCACAAGGGATACACAGGCTGGGGAGCCAGGGGAGCCCTCGGGAGCCTGGGGGCCCACAGGGCAGCAGGGCGCGCCGGCCGACCTGCAAGGCCCCCGCAGCACGGTCCGGGGCATCGC